GGTAAGAACTCTCAAAGAAATTTGAAGTTTAAAAATGTCTGTTGGATGATGTCACTCTCACTATTCTATCTTCACAGTTTGTTGTTTTGTTGTTGAAAATAAGTGGTGCAAAGAGGAAGAAATAGTATGCATGAAATATGAGAAGATGAAGGTGAATGAAATATTCTGAAATTGCACTCACTCTATTGTTTTCCTAATGATTTATTAGATGTGTAGGATTTTGGAAATTCTATGGCCATGAAACTAGGCCGCATAAACAGAAAAGTTCTTGGAGAAAGCTTGAAAAAAGCTCTTTATATTCCATTTGACTGTATTCACTTGATAGTACATTACATTTGACAGTATCTGATAATAACAATTTCAAATCATACTCAAACTGGCCAATGAATGTTCGTCCTCAAATTATCATAGATTTGGGAACTGAATTAAATTATGCTTTAAGTAATGTTTCTGGTGTTGTTTCACGATTTTTGTTCCTGAATCTTTCAATCTGCATATACAAAAGTGAGGCATTTTTGAGAGGAAAGAGATCAAAGTCTGTTATCAACAAAAGGTTAATTTTCCGACATTAACTATACTAAGAATGTTTTCGATCGACATCGACGGAGGGAAAACTCTAAAATATTTTAGTAAACTTCAAGACGATTGTATATATATATATATATATATATAACCTTGGAAAAGTTTTTGCTTATGAATGTAAATTATTTATTAAAATGTAAAAAAAATTGGTGAGACGATGAAAGAAGTAAATGTTTTGGAGATTTGAAGCTGGTAGATGGCAGGTGATAACTGATAGCAATTTATTGAAGGTGAGAGTAAATCAGAGGCAATATGTGAATCATATGAAAAAATAAAAAATCGGATGAATCATATGAAAAAAACAAAAAAATTTAAGATAGTAAGTCAACGTACAGCAAGATATCTGAAGTTAGCCATCTGTCGAAAATTGCACATCTTTATTAACAAACCTTTCTTGTTTGTGGTTTGCAGGCGGTCTAGATGAATACATTTAGAAGGAGTCTGTTATAATCACTTTTATTCGCTAACAACCACGACACACGAATTATATCTGCAGCAACAATATACTGATAATTTTGTAAAGTTTATCTAGGAATATAAAGTGAAGAGGAAGAGCTAAGAACATTCAAATGGATGAGGTTGGACAACAGCGCGGTATAATTGCGCCGAAAATAAGTAGTCAAATTGAAGGCTTATTAATCCTAATCCAGCAATGGATGTTAATCATATAAGCATTAACACATAACGAGGCTTGATTTACAAGCGGGAGCGAACATGCCGCAAAGGAGGTTAGGTAAATAAAAAACTGTTAACCTAGTCAAAATTGGAATATAATTTAGAGTTAGTAAGCAACCGACAAACAAAACAAAAGATCAACTAAATAAAGAACTGATAATTGTAAACAATCTAATTGGGAGCAAATTTCTACACATATTCGAGTTACAATTGAAAGATAAATATTGGTTAAATGATTTTCTACATGAGATTGGAACATTTGTCGTATAAGGAATGCTCAAATGAGATAGATTTTAGTTTTATGGCTTTCATACAATTTTATTTCAACATATTATAATTTGATTTTTTTTTTTCAACACCATCTCCCTGTCAAAGTAGAATTTGTATAATCAGTTCGTAATTATGGAAATAATAACTTTAGCCGTAAGTCGAAGAAAAAAACAAGCAAAATAAATTGATGAATACTAATTGGATGATGAAACTGTTATTCTGAACAAGGTGTTGACAAATTACAACAATGTGAACATTACTGATCAATTAAAATGACAGGAAAGTTGTTATAGGAAAGAAATTGAAAAAATAACGCCTAGTTACAAAAATGAAATGACTCCCACTTCGTCATAGAATTCTCAAGATGCGAATTCTCGAAAGTTGCAGAAGTTATATAAAGTTGTGCTTATTGTATTAATTGAAAAAAAAAAAAAAAAAAAACTAGAAATTTCGAGGAATCAAAAGTGATGTGAAGAACCTAAAAATAGCATTTTTTGGATTTAGTAGTTTTCGTTGAGAATTTTTATGATAGAAAGTGGGGCTAGTCATAAGTACTGGGACAGAGGACGAATTTATCGTAACTCTGAGCTATCAGTTGCGAACACTGAAACACCTAAGAATAATAAAAGTTCGTAGAATATTATTGATTGAAGTCACTGTATCATTAGACAAAAAGCTATATTAAGAAAGAAATTGAAATTATTATATTAGTAATCTAATTTTGAAGAGAACAATGGGGAATATCTTAGGTATGAAAAAAAAAACAAATATCAAATAGAATTTTAATTAAATCCGATTTAGATAATATATAGTCTTTTTAACTTTAAAATTTATTTCATTTTTACAGCGTGATGTTGTTTATCAATTCTCAATTCTTGTTCTCATATGAATTATTTACGACGGAATGCTGAAGTTATCAACAAAGTTTCTCAAAAGCTTACTTCTAGATAATAAGTTCAAAAAGCAATTTTCCAGCTTCTTGTTAATTACTTAATTGTTTGTCATTTTGGTTGTTAGAAACATGTTGCAGATTGCTAATGCAGAAATTGAAAAAGTAAGTGATTCGAGTGAGTATGACTGACTATATTTCATCGCAGACCGCTTTACCTATTGTATAAAACACTCAAATTAAAGATTATTCCTTCTAGAGGATGAATCTCCTGATAAGCTTAAACATGAAACAAGTTCGAGCGTGAAATAAGCTTAAGCATGCAGTAAGTTTAACTACAAACATGAAATCGCAGTAAGTACTGAATACACAAGATAAATTCTAGATATTGCAACATTATAATCAATAATTTAGACTGATTAGGCCCAGTTCATGAATTTTTGAATTACAATGCGTAAATTAATTGTTTTTTGACTTCGATTTATTATCGAACATTGAAATTTTTTTTAAATAAATTTTCGTAGATATCGAGCTCAAATGACATTTGATTTTTAGTTATATTTATGTTACGAACTTGTTTTTGATATATGTTAAAAAATAAAAAATAAGATTGTTATAGGAAGTGCAGAGAAAACCTGAAATAGTTCCATAAAATTTTTAGCGTGTTGGGTTGCTTACACTGGAATCGGTGTAAATATTGTAATTGATATTGAAGTTAACTTCAAAAATGTCCATAATTTAGGCCAGCTTTTAAAATGATCAATAAAGCATAAATATCAACTTATCGAATTTTTTCAATAATCTGACCACCGCAAGCAATAATTTAAATGAGTTGGAAAAAATGGTCTGTCCGTTTTTGAACTTTTAAAACATTCGGTGAAGTCAGATTTAGGTCATGACTCTTGCTGCCACTATCATCGTCAAATTCCAACCCCTAACTGCACCACCGGTCAGGTGAAAGGTTATTAGGTAAGTTTCATTCAGTCCATTTTTAGAAATCACTTTCGGTTGTCAGTTTGCTCTTCTCATTTTTAGATCATTTCCTTTCACTTTCATTATCGTGATCTGGAGCTGGCAGTATTATTTTCTCTAATCATCCATCCCCCTATTTTATTTTGGACATTTTTTTTCGAAATGAAATTCACAACTTAAACTTTTAACCAAATGAGATCAATTTCAGTTCTGCATGTATTAATTTAATACTGGAGTATTTGATTTGGATGATTGGTGAATTATGTCGTTTATTTAACTGACACCCGTTTATTCCTTATTTTGTTTGTACATTCTATTAACAGAATGTTCGTTAAGATATCATTACTAACCTACCTAAGGTTAGTTTGTGATTAATAGATAGCTGTAATAATCAAGAATTTCATTATCTTTTGCTGATCTATTTACTCAGCATTTCTTATTATAATAAAAACTTCGTATTCATTAAAAGAAAAGTTCATCTGCAATGCTTTGCTTCGATTTTGTACAATTAATTGCTATCAAACATCCTTATCAAGTGTCCTTCATTCCACAACTCTGTCGGAAGTTGACCTATCTGAATCATGTCATGTGTTACCCATGCTTTCAAATATAGGACTTGTCATTTACTGATTCCACTGGCAATACTACGCAACCTTACAACTATTTTAAACTATAGTGAATTCTCTGTGTGTAATTTTTTTGATTTCAGGGTTAATTGAATTGATGACCTTACACATTTCCTATTAGTTTTATCTTATTCTTCTGCTAAGCTACTGCCCTAATGCTGTTACTGAACAACATTTATGGGAGTGATGCCCAATGATAAGAATATTTTGGCTTCATATACCTTATTGCTGATCACTTTTCAATATTACGTCTCTTCAGTTTTATTATTCGATGATATTCCGCTTTGTTAGTCGTACCATAATTCATGGGTAGTTTACTGTTAGCCATAATTGCCTCGCTCATTGATGCAGCATTTTTGAAATTTGAAATTAGATTAGAATGCGTGACAATAATAGTGGCATAGATCTAGAAATGTAGCGAAAGAAACGGATGGTGATAACATCGATTGCGCTTTAAAGGATAACTCTGAATAAAAGTACTGTTTTTATATCAGCTATATTCCCTGTTTCCATCTTGACAGGTTTTTAATATTTAATATGGCTGAAGTATGATTAAATTGCCTTTTCCTCGTGGTACCATTTTTGGAATCTCTAATCTGTAAGGTTAGAGACAATAAAATACATTTGTGTTTAATTTTTACCAAAAAAACTTTCTTTTCTATGTGGAATTTATTTTTTTTGATCTGATCAGTAATAAATATACTGAAGAAATTATCGTGCTCCAATAACGAACTCAGTTTTTAAAATATTTAAAAAAGAAAAACCGCTGTTGAAAGCTTTTTTTGGATTTCCATTTAATTTACAGTAGGATTTCTGTATGATTACATGTGGAACTTAGAGTTAATCCAAGAAAAGGTATGTATCTACGCATATTTTATGTATTTGCATGTTATGTGTGTGTGTGTGTGTGTGTGTGTGTGTGTGTGTGTGTGTGTGTGTGTGTGTGTGTGTGTGTGTGTGTGTGTGTGTGTGTGTATGCGAGTGATTTAATGAGGACGGATCACAGAGTTGGTAAAAGGGAAAATGTTGGTCGGTGACCTCGACCTGCTGCCACTGCTCATCGGACCGGGGAAGAGGCGAATGGGACTTTTAATCAACGGTAATGAGGAAAGGAATATCCTCCAGTTTGAAACGAACATGAACAGAGACAGCAAGTAAGGCATCCGCCGAAATATCGGGATGAAGAGAAAAGGAAAAGGTTTGCTCGGGTGGGGAGGGGTGACTTGGGCTTGGAACAGCGAAACTGACGGTGAACAAGGAGAGAGTGGTGTTGGTAGTTGACCTTGTACATCTTCACAACCCACCCAACTCAACAAATACAATGTGAGCAGAGTTATAATACTTCCCGAATCGCTTCTACTGGCCTGCATTTTCATGCCAAGCAATTACTCTGTCCCATTTCTAAGCCTTCATTGGATAATTTCAATATTTCAAATTTCGTCTGTAAAATCTTTAACTTTACATTCCAAATCATGCGGCAAACAGTAGATTTCTTTCTTTTAAAAAACTTCAGTGTTTTAAAAAAGTTCCAGTAATTAAAATAGTGGCAATTACATGAGCTGTGATGCCGACATAATAAAAAGAAAAGTGAATGTTGCAAAGGAGAATAATGATGAACGTTCGTACGCGATTTTATTAAACTGTTTCTTAAAAAAATGCATGCGTCGTTTAGGACTACTTTTGTACTCTAATTGTACAATGTTTTTCTCTATTATTATTTATATGTCTTTTAAATTTACAGATGCGATGAAAAAAGAAACAGACAAAAATGATACTTTCCGGAACACCTATAGCAGCAATTCGGTGTACAGCTCCAATTTCAGTCAATCCAGGTACTAATGACAGCTCAGCGAATCCCGCAATTTTCGGCGAGCTCCTGATATCTTCCAATGTTCACACACCACATCGACCAATAGTTACGATTCGAAATCTTTCAGCAGCAACAGCAGAAACTCCAACAGTTACTATTCCAGGGGCTGCAGAAGAATCAAATTTCATTTCGACAAACCTAATTTTGAATGGCAATTCGCCATCGGCTTTTCGACCGATTTTCCCATCAACTTCTTCAGATTCATTTGTCATTACAACCCTCAGTTCTCTTGTTTCTCCATCAGATCATGAAAATGTCAACAGTGAAAGAAATCACAACCATCATCATCATCAACAACAACAACAACCAGAACAACAGCAACCAGAACAACAACAGCAACAAAAATCACAACAGAGTGACACTACCTTAAGTGCTGACTATGGTTAGTTCTGTTGTCTTTTAACTACATAGTTGGCATGACATCATTATTGCCACTTCTTTAATTTCTTAGCCTATAACGCATAAGAGTTGGAGTGAACAATTCGGCTGGTTGAAGAGCTGTGATATTTCCAAATATTTGTTCTAAATGTCCAGAAACAATATATAAAAATATTTCAAATATACAAAACTGCCAATTCTCTATTCCTTTGAATAGCTTACCTATCATTCTCTCATATTTGCAATATTCGACTATTTAACAAAGTTTTCCGTGCTTATGACTTTTGTTGCTTATTTACAACTACATTGGTGAATGTTGTTGCTCACTTTTGATAAGTTCCTCTATAACTCTTATCACTCAACTTGACATCAAGTGACAACAAATATTTAGCCACGATCATTGCTCCATTTTAGGAAACCTTTTTTTGATCAACCTTTTTAAAAGGTACTCTATTGCTGCTTGGCTGTATACTTAATCTTTACATTTTTTCTTATCTCTTCAAAATCTATGGAGAAATTTTTCATTTCTTTCAGGTGGCATTCCTGTTCTAATTCATTCTAATGTGTTCTCTGATCTTGCTATGATTAGATGATGATTTTAAAAGATTATTTGGTAAAGTATTCATTTTATAGTTTATTTAGAATTTTCGGCTAGGTATCATGAAAAAAGAAAATATTTAGGGAGAGGAAAGCAAAAGTGGCGAAAGATGATTGATCATTGAGTTACAGCAATATATTTCCTAGCCTATTCATTATTTTTTTCTTTTCTTCATTATTTGTTTCCTCAGAAAGGAAACAAATAATTTGGGTTAAAGTAGGACAAATGGCTAACTGTATGCAAAGGAAGGTTTGGAAAAGTCAGAGGACAGGAGACTACATAAGTGTCACAGATGGTTAAGCAATGACTTAGGAAATTTGTGAGGCTCATTTGGTTTCAAGGACGGTCAGTTCTAAAGTTACTTTTTTACATAATGTTTCCTTGGACGTAGTATGTCGTCGTGCATGTCTGCATCGATGTATCTATCGTGCCTATCTCTGTGCTATTTACGTACAAGTAAATTTGAGAGAAGAAATGAAATGTTGCTGACAAAGTTTAAAAGGTAAAAGGGAGAAAAACGAAGTCATACCTTTTTTTAATTGTAGGGGACAGGGGATGAAAAAAAGAGTGAAAACTTGACATTATTAACAAAAAAGTGTCTGGTTATTATTGACTAACAAGTGCCTAACAATGACAATAAGACGACGATAGTCATAAAGTAATTATGATATTGATAAGGAAACTTTCCTCTCCTAATGATATAATGATTTTTTTGTATTTCCTATTCTTTATTGTCTTTCTGTTTGATGACTTGATTTTGAAGGTCAGTTGGGGAGTTGGTAATAGTGTTGATAATAGATGGTGGAAGGTTATCGAAGGGTTCTTTATACAGAGAAAGGGAGAAGGAGGAGGGAGAAAAGAAGAAAGGAAAAGGGAGGGATATTTGGAACGGTAGAAAATGAGGCCAATTATTTGCAGCAATCAGGGCAGATGACTTGTTTGGTGGGTCAGGTTTTATATATACTCAGTTATTCCTTGACAGTAGGTAAAGGTCACTTTTGCTCTTTCTAAACTCTCTTTTTAAACTAATACAATCTGAAAATGAATTCTGAAAAGGCTCATCTTAGTCGAAAATTGACTAACGCTAAAAACAACATTCAAGTAAGATGCACAAAAGGTGCCCATAACATGCCTATTTTCGAAAAACCAAAGAGCGATGATAACTTGAAATCCTGAAGAGATAAGAACATCCATCACAGTCTGTATTGTAGTGGAAGGAAAATAGACCTGAAATATACTTCAATTTCTGATGATACTGAGGAAATTCCATAAATATTTTTTTCTCAAATAAATTAGCTGTGTAATTTCAGAAAGGAAATGCTCAGATTGGTAGGTTTGATATAGCATATGTGTTTTTTCATGTAAAGCTAGCTCCCAAAAGGTTCATAGTATGTTCAAAAGGATCGGAGTTCAAGCATATTTCTGAAGCTGAAATTAGCGATGTATGAAGAAGTGTAGATTTTCTGCTCATCAGTACTAAATGAATATGTTGCAGTTAAATAGGAAATGAATGCTGTGGTCATTTTACCTTTAAACCTTCCTATTTCAAGTGAAAGTTTTTTTGCAATGACTTGTGTACAACAAAGCATTTGTAGGATATTTGTAGATAGTTATGAGATTTTATTTATTCACTTTTATGATACATTTTAATTTCACTTCTTAAAATCTACGCAGCAGAATAGAGAATGGACAACGGATTTTTATTATTGAACTCTAGTTTTGCTAAATTAGGTTTGGTATATCAGTTGAATTGTGTTGGAAGGAATTAATGTGGAAGTGAAAAGAATAATAAATATCTTTCAATCTGATATGACTGCTTCTACACTTCATTCCAGTTGCTACAACGAGTAATAATTACTTGTGTCAAGTCTGCGGCGATAGAGCATCCGGTTTCCATTATGGTGTTTTTGCTTGCGAAGGTTGCAAGGTAAGAGATTAATTTGTTTCTTTTTTGACATTTCCATTTTTGCCGTTTAGAAATTGATAATTCACCCTGTAGATGAATCAGTTGATTTGTTTTAACAAATTATTAGAGCAATTCGCTTCAAATGAATCAATTATAATATCTTGTGATTGATTCCCCTTTACTTGTTGGTTTTATTTATTCATTTTTATCCTTTGGGGAAATATTATTGTGTGCAAGGTTTGTTTGCAGGGCTTTTTTCGCCGTTCTATTCAGCAGAAAATCCAGTATCGTCCGTGTACTAGGAGTCAGCAATGTATTGTTGCCCGGAACAATCGTAATCGTTGTCAACATTGCAGGCTGCAAAAATGTATCAGAGTAGGAATGTCAAGAGAAGGTATGCAAATTAGGTATTCTCGCAAAATTTTCATCTTCCTTTTTTTCAGGATTCATTGGAAAGCATGATTTTTTGTCGACTATCAGAGCTTTTCATTAAATTGCTTCAAATCTTAAATGGATGTGTTTTTTTTTCTCGATATATTTATGGATTAGGGTTGAAAAAAAACCGTAATTTAATTTACGTCTTAGTTTCAACGTAAACTGAGAATGATGAAATGGAAACCTGTTTTGACCTTGACCTTAATTGAAACGCGTTTAAATGGAAATGGAGTTTATAGTTTAACCTTGATCTGGATTACTAGGCAACCCAAAGTGGTATTGTGGTTTGACCTTGGCTGAAATAGATTAATTGAAGAATACTGTGACTATTTGGGTCATTTTATGCGAACATTCAAAATGTGTTTACTAAGGAGACAAGGTTGAAAAGGTGAAAGGGATGTCTGTTCTGCATTGAATTGTTTGCCGATGACCTTGCAAATTTCAACTGCGTCAATTTCTTTCTCCTATACGCAAGTTTTCACTTTCGTCTTGCTCTATTAATTTAAAAATTTGAAATGAAAACAAATATGACTACAACCAAGCGGATCTTATCAAGAATATTTTACTTTTGAAATTGGCGACCTGAGAAGTTAAATGATTTTTTTTATTGAACTCTTAATTGTTGAAAATTTCCATGTATTTTCTTTAAGATTCAATTGATTGTTGTTGGAAACCATTGAAATATGCAGCTAGAAAATACGAGTCCATATTATGAGTCTTTAACATGAAACAATTGGATCAATCCAGGAACTCTCTATCATCAAATTTAAAGTCTAATGGAACTGGCCTGTAGAACTAGAGATCAATTTTTTTATAGAAGTGCTGTTTGTTTTCCCACATAGACCTTTTCTATTTTTTCAGCCGTTCGATTCGGTCGTGTACCGAAGCATGAAAAAGTCCGTATGGCTGAGGAATTGGCTCGCGTTACAGCACGCACACTAACTGATGCAGTTCAAAGTGCACTTACAGATAGTGATTCGGTAGTGGAATCCTGCTTTACTGGTTTTTCTCGCCTAATAGACAATGTAAAGAAGCTTCTTCATAAACCTCCTGCACAAAGCGTCTGTCCTGTCGGAAGGTATTTTTTAATTCTGTGATTGTAAGCTTACATTCCGGTCACACAACTTAAAAGGTTCCATTGAAACTTACTTACTACTTTCATTTTAGTTATCTAATTCGAATGATTAATATTGTTAAGTGCTGGCTTAAATTAATGTTTTCTTTTTTAATTTTTAATCTTGGATAAGAGACTATTGCAGGGTAAATGCTCATCATGCAATTAAAGCAGCTTACGATTTCTCTCAGTCAATTCCGGGATTCAGCATACTGCATCATCAGGATCGAGTTCAGCTATTGAGGGTAGATAGTAAATAGTATTTCTGGCTTTGAGTCCCATGAAACAAAATGAGGGAACATGTTTAAGAGTGACCGGACACATTTTTATTGTGGTTGAAAGAATTTCTTAAATGAACCATGAAAACTAGCCTGTCTTTCAGGGTACATTATTCCAAACGGTTGTGCTAGCAATGCTCTCATCATTTAACTGCGACAAAGCTCTATTGACGCTTCAATCGCCAATTGGACATGTCCACCAATATTTCTACTCACCTTTAAATGTTTTTTTACAAAAATTTAACGCATTAAAATTAACTAATCAGCAGGTAGCACTTATTGGTGCTGCAGGCATGTGCATTTCCGATAAACCCCTCATGCACCCTGAACTGGCTGCACTTATTCACAATCGTTTAAGTGATCTGTTCCAAGAAACGTTCTCGAAAGAATGTCGTGCTGCAGCTCCACAGCTTTTGCATACCGTCTTGTATGAGCTGAGAATGCAAAATACAGTGCATCAGCAAAGTCTTGAAGCGATAACTATTTGGCCTTCTACTTGTTGTTCCTCATCATCGTCTGTTGCGTCTACTTCCGATGATAGTGTTGTCTCAAATACCGTGAAAACAGGTATCAATGATAATGCATCACAAAATGTTGAAACCGAGTTGTTAGTATTAGGAAATTCAGGGCTTATGTCAGGACAACAACCAGAACAACCGTTACAGGAATTAATTTCGCCACTTTCTGTTGAAAATCAATCGTACGATGATATAGAAAAAGAACAGACAAAACCAAGTTGTAGCCAACGTAAATCCGAGAATAATCCATTGCAATCAAGTACTCTATTCCGAGTTCAACCATCCATTGTTGAATCTCATCGTTCTGTTGCCTCATTGCTGAACCAACCACCCATTTTACCAATAGCGGTAACTGCAATACGAACTACTTTTGCTCAGAATTGTCAATCGGCATTATTATATCGAGCGGCAACACCAATCTTTCGAAATATCGCTCTACACGACACGGAGGTATCAAATGAGATAGTAGGATCAGTAGATGAAGAGCCGCTAGATCTAAGTGTGAAACGTTGATGTTGTAATTACGTCAAAAATTTATTTGCAAATGTATCATCATATGTACTACTATGTTTCGTCGCATTATTTGATTTACGTGGGTCGCAGATGCATCAAAATTCATATCGAAGTCGTTCTGAAAGTATTAATACTTTTTTTTAAAACAAAAAGTTTCAGTATGTTTGAAATTCTTTTTCTTCGATTTTTATATCAAAAATACCGTACACCTTTTGGCTGTTTTTATTTAGCCATAAAAGTTCTCTACCATTTATCTATTCACCTGCTGCTCATTACCTCACAGATGGATTACTTGAAATCTTTAAATCTCCTGTAGTTGTTATCCTACTGAATACTCAGGAAACTTCTTTTGATTCCTTTTTCATTATCGATAAGAGTACTTCTTAGTGGTCTGGAGTGCGCTTCTTCTATGTAAACTTTTTTCGCGCTTTTCATTAAATAAATTTTTAAGCGTCGATCGTATGATATGTTATCCTTCTTTATTGCTTTACAGCCAGTTTATTTGCTTAGCGTTTGATAAATTCATACTTGTGTATAAACAATACTTATTTTTCTGTGAACTTTTAGATGTCTAAAAGAATGGGAATGTTCAGAACTTTCCAGACACTGTACTGCTGAACTTATTGAACTTGAAACTTTTCTCTTGAGATTGTCAAATAACGTTGTGCAAAAAATTTTTATTTGTTTTGTTTCATATTTCTGTCCAAACTTCTCTAAAATATTGTGACTGAATTATCGTTGTAATTATTCACGGGTCACCGCTTCCTATCACAAAGAAAGTTATTTGGTTTCGCTTTTCATTCTTGCCAATACATTAAATATTTTGTTTGACTTTACATGTAAATCAATATTACTGTAGAGTTTTTCACTCTTTTACATGCTTCTCTGATCCCTCATCACAACGTTTCATTTTCGGTACTCTCTTAACTGTTGTGTGTAAATCACGGGTAATTTGGACAATTTATCTAAATATTAATACTTCGAAGTCTTATGTCATTTATCTACCAAAATGTTTTTCATCTAAAATTCTAGCACAATCTTCACAATATTTTAATATTCAAAATTCTATACCTATAGGATTAAATCAGTGTACTTCAATATGTCCTGCACGGCTCTTTTATTTGTTTGTGTAGCTCAGAATGGTTGTCTTCAAATCTTTGTTATAAATTAAAGCTAAGTTGTTATTGTACTGCTTACGTGACATATTTGACGAGTGCAGTTCGTAATGTAAAGTTTTCTGAAAACGATAAATTTGGAAATCTCTGCACTTCATTGAAGCAGTTGCTGCCTCATAAATGAAAATAATACATAATTTCGAAATTTTACTGGATTTTGTAAATAATTTTTACATTTTGTAAATAAACTTAAAAATAAACCCAGCATTAATTTGTGGAAATAATTACTTTTGTTTAAAGTTTTCAGGCAAAACTTCCTTGGAATAAGGGTTTTTTGAAACTCTCAGTTAGAATTCGAAATTAAAGCTAAAATGAAATATTGGATTGGCACAACATAATGAATAACTCCATAAACCTCAGAATGAACTTTCTCAGGGAGAGCACAATATCATACTTATACAGCTGCGCAAATGCATCAACATTGGAAGCACTGAAGTATAAGAGAAATCAAACTTATTAAGTATGATTGGAGGAAAAAAGAAACAATGATGAATCAAGGATAGGTGTTGATAAATTTCAGGAACAATTCACAATTGGTTGAAACTGATAGGCGGAGATATTTCGTTCCCTCATCTTTTTTTGCTCGTTCATCTTTTCGCAAAAAAAATGTATTACTTAGTTACAAATATCATATGTGAAACTTACAAAGCAAGATTACAGACAGAGTACAAGTGAAATAAGATTACAATCATCCAAAAAGTATCTTGGTTGCTTTCCTCCTGGAAAAAATTGAATTTCAATCAAGTTATTTCTCCATTTATAGTAAAGATTTGAAGTTGCAGTAAAATAAGAAAACATCACTAATAATAAGTAGTAAATGGGTTAGCAGAATGACTTTCTAAAACTTAGATGATGAATTAGATTTTTCAGTCCAGTGTATTTTACAATTATTATCCTAGGAAAGCAGTTCTGCCCATATGCAAATCATACTAGACAGAGAAGAAAACAGTCGTGTCGGAAAATTTCTTAATAACTTTTGCTTTGCAACAGGTCAGAATCAATAACTGACCGTAACATATAGGATGACAACTAATAACTCATTAATAAAAAGGAAATTCGCAGCCTGAAAATTGGAACTGACTCCATTTACATAAGTTTACGACCAGCTTTCTCCATTCAGTCACTTTCAAGTAAATTTTCTTGTTATCGGCTTTGCTCAGAAAAAGAAAAATTAGATAGCTTTTAGTGGTTATCTCAGAACTGTATAATGCATAATAATAATTTAATATAGATGATGTCACAGATTGATAATTTGAGACCCTAGCATGTTTTCAATTTATAAAATAATGGAATGAATTTCTTCACTATTTTAAACAAGACATCTTTAAACATCTTTAAACTAGACCTTAGATTTGATAGCTATATATTTAGTTCTATAACTGAGTATTCTGAATGAGCCTAACACAGTCTTTTTTGAGTTAGGCCTTGTTTCTTCCACCATTATAGTATATAGGTTAGGATGGTGTACTTGGAGTATCTATGTTTAAGGTCTAGGAATGTTTGAGGTCTTGAAATGTGCTGCTACCAGTATAAAAGCCAAATGATAGTATTGAAATCCTGCTAAATTGTCTTATTCAAAAAGGTATTGTCAATGGAAGCCACCAAATAATCAGAAATGATAAAATAGAATTCCTTTGACCTTTTATTTTTACTCCTCATCGATTTTTACCAACGACAAATGAATTTGTGTTGAAAAAGGCCCAGTATACTTCCATTTTTCTTTAGATCTTATCAATCAAATATTCTTTTCTTTAAAGTTAGAAACAATATTTTCAAGTGCCGTTATCAATTGATTTTGACTCTTGTCTTTATGAGATTAAATTGGATTAACTAATGAAAGTTCTATATCCTGTGTTTAATTGTAATATGCACATAGGTATTAGGCAACACATATAAATAAGCAAAATTTGCCTTACTTTAGTAGTAAAATTGAGTCAATAAAACATATGTTTTAATCGTTAATGGCTCAGGAATTAACAACATTTCTTCAGTAATCTATCAGTATCATCATCTGTTTTGCTTGCCATAGTTCTTGTTCAAGTGTAGTGTTGTTGCATGCAATCATTGCAGTGAAACACAGACAACTGTTAAAATATTGACATACATATTGGTATTTTGCAGAACATAATTGTACTGTAAAGTTTTATAAGTTCCTTATAAAAATTTGATAAGGTTCTATACAGTTTTTTAGGAGATAAGAAGTAATGTTTGCAGAGAAACGAAATGATTTTCACCCATTTATCAATGAAATTCTGAAACTAGAAATTCATTTTACTCACTCTTATAACTAAACATCATCTGTTGATAACAAACCTGAAAAATACGATAGCTTTACTGACTGTTGAATTGAACCAAAAAGTTTTTGTGATATCGTTGACAGTTGTTGGCGGTAGACAGATCAGAAGCACTAAAAGGTTGGAAATATTTGCCAAGAAGAAGTATCCATCGATGTCCACTAACATGACATCATTCATTAACTGTTTCTCTTGATGTCACACACTGAACTGACCAATAGAATAGTCTTAAAAGTTTTCTTGTTTCTTGTAAGTTTTCTTGTGTATATTTTGCTTTGTTGCAGTTTAGAAACTTGTGCTATCGATGTATCCAATAACAAAGCATTTTCTCTGTTCATAGGAAAAATTTTTAATTCACATCTCGTTTTTTAATTTTAATTTAGCTTAGATAACGAAAAAAGCATACAATGAATATTAACTTGGACAACAAAAGAAGCATACAAAGAAGAAGAAAATGGTATCAAAAAAAATTTAGTAACATACAGATCGAATCACTACTAAAATTCTTCCGTTGGTGCCAACAATAATTAACGAGACATTTGGCAATAAATTCACTGCAAAGATACGATGGAACTTATATCTACGATGCAAGAAATGATAGATTGAGTAGGTAATTTTAAGTAATATAACTTTTTTTAAGTAATATAATTTTTTTCAGTTTTTCGCTTTTTATCAGTTTTTTGCTTTTTATCAGTTTTTCGCACATGAGCTAGGAAGAATAGGAGTTAGATTTCTTAGATTATTTGATAATGTATTTGTTAATAACGGCAATAATTATCTGATTATATTTATTATCAGTTTTTCGCAATCTTTAACAATAAAAATACCGCCATCCCTCACCGCTATTCACATCAGTAAAAAAGCAAGAGGAATGACATGCAATTTGATAATATGCATACAAAATATGAGCAGAATCTGACAAATCATTGAAAGCGAAAATGTTTTCAAAGCAAATAAGCTAAAATAAGATAAAAAAGAATTTTGCTTTGTTGGAAAGAATAACTTAATGAATAATAATAATAATAATAATAATAATAATAATAATAATAATAATAATAATAATAATAATAATAAGCCAGTAATGGTTGGAGATGAAATTTGATTTCAGTTCTCACTGTGAGGCATTCTCATAATGTTCCCTGTTATATTAAATTTTCTGAATCAATCCTTCTCATAACATTGTTGGATTCATTCCTGCAGATCCTCTTTTAATTGATTTCTTATTTATATATTTTTTAATTGATTTCTTATTTATAAAAAGAAAGGATTATGCTTCAAGCAAAATGAAATTTTTTTTTTACAAATGGGTAAAATGGCACACGCATTTATATATATTTAGCTTTTAAAGATTCGCAAAACAAAAATTTAGGTCAAAATTTCCTAACAATAGAAGAAATATAGATAAAGTTTTATGGAATAAGTCTGGAAAAAATGGAAAACTGATAAAATTAAATAAATATAAATTTAAAAAGTTCGAAGTCGAAAAATAGAAGACGTATTAAAAATGAATATTGGAAGGGTGGCTAAATAA